CCCGGGGCCCCTCTTCCGAGAGCTCTTGGGGTCGGCACTGGGGTGGGGAGGATGGAGGGACGGGGCCAGACGCCCCCCTCACGTGCGGCCCGTGCATCTCAGCACATGCAGACCCAGCCTGACCCCCCGGGGACACCCCTGGAACCAGCTCCTCGGCCCCGGGCTGGGGATCAGTGAGAAATCACATCTATGCAGCCGGGAAAACCGAGGCCAGGACGTGTTTAATGGGGCCCGGTCGGCAGGGCTCAGGGGTTGAGCAATGACCTATGAGCCAGGAGGTCACGGTTCGAGGAGGGAAGCCCAGGGCCTGGGTGCCTGAGGGAAGCCGGTGCTGGCAGCTGGGGGGAGACCTACTCTTGCATGAATTTTCACGCATTGGGCCTCTAGTAGGATAATAAAAGCCTAATATGCTAAGTGCCCAGTCGTCCGTTCAACCAATCAAAGCATAATATGCTAATGAGATGCTAAGGCTGCTCAACCGCTCGCTATGACGTGCACTGACCACCGGGGGCAGATGCTCCGATTGGTAGGTGAGCTTGCTGCTGGGGTCCGGCCAATCGGGACTGAGCGAGATGGGCCGGACACGCCCATGAGCCCTCCCACGGTCCCTCCCTGGCCCCGATCGTGCACCAGCAGGGACCCTCGGCCTGGCCTGCGCCCTCTTGCAATCCAGGCTGAGGGACGCCCCCCCCTCAGTGCACGAATTTCGTGCACCGGGCCTCTAGCATATTAATAAATAAATGGATACAAAAAAAGGATCTCGTTGCCCCGAGGTGGGGGCACAGGAACCTACCTTGCACCCCACAGGTGCCTTGCTCCGCCTGCCCCTGGGAAGCTGGACGCTGGTACACCACATGGGGCAGGGCGCTCCCGGGCTGGGCCTGGGCACCTTGCAGGGGCTCGATGAAGTAGTCCTGGTTGTTGAGTCGGAACACACCTTTCTGGAGAGGAGCTCAAGGTCACACGGGGAGCCAGGCAGACCCGGCAGCGGGCCCTGGCCTCCTCTGGCGATGCTCGCGGCCAGCGGGACATCCTACCCCCTGAGGGACACTCACACCCCAAGGAAGAGGGGCCCTGGCTGGTGTGGCTCAGTGGATAGAGCACTGGCCTGCGGACGGAAGGGTCCCAGGTTTGATTCCTGGTCAAGGGCACAGGCCCGGGTTGCGGGCTCGGTCCCCAGTAGGGGGGCGTGCAGGAGGCAGCCGATCCATGATTCTGTCTCATCGTGGATGTTTCTGCGTCTCTCTCCCTCTCCCTGGTAGGGGTGAGTGCAGGAGGCAGGCAATCGATGTGTTTCTCTCACGGCAACGTTTGGGAGACCACCCGGACCTAACCTATGGGACCCCCTATTTGATCACGCCATGGGGGCGATTCCAGCTCCAAGGCCAGTTTGAGAACCCAAACCCTGGGGAACCCCCGGGAGGGCCCTAGTTTTCATCCCCATTTCACAAGCGCGATCCCCGAGGCCCCGGGAGGCGAGGCTGAGGCGTGACGGGGCACCCGGAAATCAATGGGAAAATTTCCACAGGTGAGGACTCAAAAAGAAAAAAAAATCCTATATAATAAAAGCCTAATATGCTAAGTGTCCAACCGTTTATTCAACCCATTCGACCAGTCGCTATGATGTGCACTGACCACCAGGGGGCAGGTGCTCTGATCGGTAAGTGAGCTTGCTGCTGGGGTCCAGCTGATCGGGACTGGACGGGACAGGCCAGACACGCCCTGGATCCCTCCCAGAGTCTCTCCCCGGCCACCCCAATTGGCCGCCACAGGCCAGGCTGAGGGACCCCATCGGTGCACAAATCCATGCACCAGGCCTCTAGTATATATCCTAATATATCCTAATATATAAAAAGCCAGGGGCTGTCACGACCTAAATGACTGGATGGATGATCAAACAGCAGGCTCCATTGATCAGGGGATGGCTAACGGGGGAACTGGGTTCCCTCAGGCTCTGATGAATCCATGGCAGCAGCGACTGGGGAGCGGGCAG